AAATTATGGGTTATCACTCATAAAAATATAAACTTTGGCATTCACAAAATTATTTGATTATGGCTCTAAATGACAAATAATAGACAAAAATCGTGAGTTATATGAAAGCATGGCTTTTGAACTCCGTGAATATATTTTCTAAAGGACAGGGACAACAAAAAGTGGCTAGAATCATAAGTTATATCTCATAAAATCATGAATTTTGGCCTCTGTGAAATTATTTTCCAGACCAGAAATTATTTTCCAATGGCCTAGAATCATTAAAAATCACCATAAATCATGATTTATAGCTCATGATCTCATAAATTTTGGACTATATAAAATTATTGTCAACGGGTCAGATTGACTAAAAATAGCTATAAATTATGGGTTATTGCTCATAAAATTGTGAAATTGGCCTCTGTGAAATTATTTGACAGTGGTTTAGAACAACTAAAAATAGCCAGAAATCGTAGGTTATAGCTCATAAAATTATGAATTTTGGACTCCATGAAATTATTTTCTATTGGGTAGAAACAATAAATAATGACAACAAATCGTGAGTTATAGCTAATGAAATCTAAAATTTTAGACTCCAGTAAATAATTTGCCAATAAGTAAAAATATTTTAAAATAAATAAAAATCATGAGTTATAGCTCAGAAAATCGTGAATTTTAGCCTCTATGAAATTATTTACCAATAGCTCAAAATGCCTAAAAATGGTAAAAAATTATCGGTTACAGCCTATGAAATCGTGAATTTAGCCTCCAAGAAATTATTTGTCAATAGCACAAAATGACTAAAATGGCCACATATCATGGGTTGGCTCAAGCAATCATAAATTTTAGTCTCCTAAAAATTATTTGCTAATGGCTTGGAACGACTAAAAATAGCCAGAAATTGTAGGTCATAGCTCTTAAAATCGTGATATTTGGCCTTTGCGAAAGTATTTATCAATGGATGAATATGATTAAAAATAGTTAAAAATCATAGATTATAGCTCATAAAAACATGAATTTTGGCCTTCGCAAAATTATTTGAAAATGGCTTAGAACAACAAATCATGGGCTATAAGCTCATGAAATCATGGAATTTAGACTCCTTTAAATTATTTTCCAAAGGTAGACCTAAGAAATAATGGCCACAAATTTTGGGTCACGGCTCATGAAATCGTGAATTTTATCATCCATAAAATTACTTGCCAATGGCTTGGAATGACTAAAAATGATCAAAAATCATAGTTTACAATTCATGATTTCATAAATTTTTGACTGAGCAAAATTATTTGTCAACAGGGTGGAATGATTGAAAATGACTATAAATCATGGATAGCTCATAAGATTGTGAATTTTAATCCTAGCAAAATTATTTGCTAATGGCTTGGAATGACTAAGAATAGCCAGAAATCATGGGTTATAACTCATGAAATCATGAATTCTAACATGTGTGAAATTATTTGCTACTCTGTAGAAATGACTAATAATGGCCAAAATTTATGGATTATAGTTCATGTAAACAAGAATAGCCTCCAAAAAATTATTTATTAATGGGTCAGGATGACTAAAAATGGTCAAAATTTATGGGTTTTAGCTAATAAAATCATGGTTTAGCCTCCAAGAAATTATGTGATAATGGCTTGGAATGACTAAAAATTGCCAAAAATCATGAACTATAGCTCATGAAATCATGAATTTTAGAGGATTTTTTACTCTGTGAAATTATTTGTTAATGGCTTAGAACTAGTGGTGCATTCGGTCCAGATACGGCTCGGATATGATGCTTATCATATCCATATCTGCTTACTCATCTCGGATACGGATACGGATACAGATATACCTCGGTAAGGAAAATTCATATCCATATCTGCTAAAATTTGATACAATTATACATATATATATAGATATATAAGCAGATATGCATGTGGGAAAATGGATATGAGAAAATTAGATAGTATTGAGGAAAACATAGTTCATGTGATACAAAAAAGGTCGTTAATATGTTCATGACAACTAAAAAGCTAAGATTAGACATCTTTTTTTTTTTTTTTTGGTCAATGAAAATTTTTTATTCATTTACCAATGAAAGAATTATATGTACAGCATGATACTCAGTTTAACTGAGATTGCAAGAATACGAGAAAGATACAAAAACCCTTACAATATCAAGGGATAATCATCTCTATACTTCAGAATAGTACTGTTAAAGATGATAGTCGCTATATCGATCTTTATTACTCTCACCAGCTGGTCTTCATTCCTATTTTGCTGTTGAAAAAGTCTTAAATTTCTTTCTCTCCATATGCTGTATATTGTAGCATTCAATGCTAGTCTTTTGATCCTTTGTTTTGCTCCCTTTCCCCTTAGCCTGGCATTGTACCAGTCCTGAAGTAGCTGCCAATTCGATGATCTCCAATCAAATTTCAACCATTCCATAATGTGATTCCAGACATTGCACGAGTAAGTGCATTCAAAAAATAGATGGTCTCTAGACTCCAAGCAAGAACCTGCACACAGGCTACATGAATTAATAGAGATGATTCCTCTCTTCATAAGTCTGTCTTGAGTTAGCAGTTTGTTCTGAACTGCTAACCAGTGGATAAATGAATGTTTAGGAATAGATAAACCATCCCAAATTGTTTTGAACCACTGAACCTTATTGGCAGCAGGGACAAGAGCTTCATAAAGGGCGGAGAGTTTAATTTTTGTTCCCTGGCAGCAAGAGATAATGAGTTCTTTCAGTTTACCAACTCCTCCACAAAAGGCAATAGCTTTGTCTCTCATTTTCAACAGTTGCCTCCATAACCAAGAATCACTCTTCTTAGCACAAATTTGCCAGATATTACCTTGCTTGAGATAGCTCTCATGAACCCATTTAATCCAAAGTGATTCTTTGTTTTCATGAATATACCAAATTGTTCTAACAGCTGAAGCAAAGTTCCAATGTGCAGCAGAAAAAATGCCCAGGCCACCTCTGTTTTTACCCTGACAGACTTTTTCCCATGAAACTAGCGGTGGCTTTTTGTGAGCTTGATCTGTTTTTCCCCATAGAAAGTTTCTACACATTTCATCAATCTTATGTAGGACACTTATAGGGAGGATATAGGCAGATGTCCAATAGATTTGGATTCCCAAAATGACACTTTTAATAACCTGTAGCCTGCCCGCATATGAGAGGTTCCTATATTTTATCCAACTCTGTAATTGATTTGTTATTTTTGAGAAGAGAGGCCCACAGTCCAGGAAAGATAATCTCCTAGAAATGAGGGGAACCCCAAGGTATTTGATTGGCAAAATTCCTTCAGTAAAGCCCAAAAGATTTGCTATAGAGGATTTTACAGATACCTCTAAACCCCCATAGAACACAGAGCTCTTTTCAGGGTTTGCAACAAGGCCTGATATTGCACTAAACTCCTTAACACATTGTTGCAACTTTTGCACAGAATAAAGTTCACCTTTTGCAAACAATAGGAGATCATCCGCAAAAACAAGGTGAGTAATTTTGAGCTTTTTACATCCTGGGTGAAATTTGAAGAGTTTGTCATTCTTTAAGGAATTCAACATCCTAGAAAAGTACTCCATACCGAGAATAAAGAGGTAAGGAGAGAGGGGGTCACCCTGCCGTAGACCACGTTCCCCTTTGAAGTACCCGTGGAGGGAGCCATTAAGAGAGATTGAGTACTTTGGAGTAGAAATGCATGTTTTTATCCAATTAATCATGACATCAGGGAAATTCAGCCCTTTTAGCATGTCAGTAAGGAAGCTCCAGCTGATCGTATCAAAAGCCTTCTTAATATCAATATTGAGCATAACTCTTGGTGATATATGCTTCCTTTTATAGTTTTTAACAAGTTCATGCGCAAGAGATATATTGCTAAAAATCTGTCTGCCTTTGATAAAGGCACTTTGTGCTTCATCCACTAGGTAGCCTATAACTGATTTTATCCTGTTAGCTAGGACTTTAGAAATGAATTTGTATAGGCAATTACAGCAAGCAATAGGCCTGAAATCAGCAGGTGTTTTTGGGCATTGAACCTTGGGGACCAAGGTAATAGCAGTGGAATTTATAGAGCCCAGTAGCTTACCATTCCTGAAGAAATCCCTTACAGATTTTAAAATATCTTCACCAATGACAGGCCAAGCTGTTTTGAAGAAAGAAGTACTGTATCCATCAGGCCCTGGTGCCTTGTTATCAGACATGGAGAAGATAGCCTCTTTAATTTCCTCTATAGATACTGGTTTTGATAATTCCCTGTTTTGAGCTTCAGACAGACAAGGTCCAGATTTGATAATGTTCATGTCTGGGGGAGAAGTAGCAACAGAAGTGCCCAGCAGATTAGTAAAGAAAGAAATAAGCTCGGTAACGATCTCCCCCCCATCAGTTATCCTGTCCCCCCTACTGTTATAAAGAACACCCACATTATTGTTATGCCTGTTCTTTTTGACAGTAGAATGAAAATAACTTGTGCTTCTGTCACCATGCACACTCCAAGCTATTCTTGCTTTTTGCTGATAGAATGATTCTTCACAGTCCAGCAATTTGTTATAAGAAGAAAGATTTTCTTTTTCTCTACTAATGAGTATAGTGTCTAGAGGGTTATTTTGAAGTTTGCTCTGAGTGTCTTCCAAGACTAGTTTTGCTCTTTGAACCTGTTCACTAATATTGTGGAAATGTCTCTTGTTTAGTATTTTCAAAGCTTCCTTCAGCTTTTTGAGCTTGGTGCATACAGAGTACATTGCACACCCTTGTATATCTGTTTTCCAAATATCAGAAACAGTAGGTAGATAATCAGCATGCTTGGTCCACATCTTGAAGAATTTGAATGGTTTTTTCCCTTGTAAACAGTCCTCATAGATAGAGATCAGGCCTGGGGAATGGTCTGAAAATTGAGGTAACAAATATTCTGCATAACTTGAATTATAGGCAGAAAATCAGGCCTGGGGAATGGTCTGAAAATTGAGGTAACAAATATTCTGCATAACTTGAATTATAGGCAGAAATCCATTGATCATTTATTAGAGCTCTATCCAGGTAACAAATATTCTGCATAACTTGAATTATAGGCAGAAATCCATTGATCATTTATTAGAGCTCTATCAAGTCTGCTCCACACTCTTGTTTCTACTTCTTGCTTGTTATTCCAGGTATAGAAACAGCCTAGTGTTTTCATGTGGTTAAGATGACAGTCTGCAATGCAATTGCTGAAGTCCCTGGTATCTGAGTCAGAGAGAACTGCACCACCAAGCTTATCATCTTTATCAGTCATTGCATTAAAGTCCCCACAGATGATCCAGGGAACATTTCCTATTGATTTCTGAATATGAATTAAATCTGCCCATAATTCTTTTCTACCCTCCATCTGATTGACACCATATATAGATGAGATGACACAGTCCAGTCTCCCATCAAATGATTTAACTGCACAAGTAATTTGCTGGTCTGAGATATTTACAACATGAGTATCCAGTATTCTAGGATCCCATAGGATAAGAATCCTGGCTTTAAAAGGGTTCCTGACATTTGATAACCATTTCCAGTCATTTGCAATCCTCTTGACAGAATTTGGTAGTTTTGATTCTTTGATTTTGGTTTCCAGGAGAGCTATGAAAGAAATATGATACTGTAACAAAAATTTATTGACCAAGAGCTGTTTAGAGGATTTATTCAATCCCCTAATGTTCCAAAAAGTCAAATTCATTTAGAATAATTCCCCCCTCTATCAATTACAGAGGGGTCACTGTCTGAGCAACTGGATACTAATGGAGATGCATTTTTTTTAATTCTGGACCCTTGAACAATTATCCAAGAATTATCAGCATTTTTCCCAGAACCAAGTACTTGCTTTGATCCAGATTCAGGTTTTTGTGCACATTCATCAACATGCACAGCCTGCAGCAAACCAGTCTTGTTGCTTATTTGTTGTATATCAACTCCATTTCCTAAAACATGCACCATATGAGCTTGTTGTATATAGATAGGTTCTTTTTCAGTCAGTTTTACCCCAGACTGTACAAACCTGCTGCAATGCTCACTCAGACTGCTATCATGTACAACATGCACAGGGGTCCTTCCAGTCTGAGAATCATTTATACAGTCATCATAACTTGCAGAATCTTGAATGATTTCTTTTCCTTTATCAGCAGTCTTTATTTGAGCAATATCATGCACGTCAAGTGGGTTCAAGTTGTTCTCAAGCTTATTTTTATCATTGGAAACAGCTTTGCTTTTAGGGACCCATCTTTGTATTCCAGTTTTTCTCTTGCAATAGCTTGTTTCATGTCCCACTTGTTTACAAAAATCACACCATCTAGGTTTTAATTCATAGATCACTTTCTGAGAAATTTTTTCCCCTTTTGGCCCCTGAATGGAGATATGATCTGGAAGGGGAGAGGGCATATTTACCTCTACAAGAACTCTAGCATATTCTAGCCTCTGTCTGCTTGCAGTAAGCTTGTCAGTGGCAATAGGTTTGCCAATGAGACTAGCTATTTTACTGATACATTTTGCATTCCACAAGTTCAATCTAAGACCTGGAAACTGAATCCACATTGGATATAAGCAGTCATTTCTTTTACCTATTTCTTCATCAATCGACCATGGTTTGAGGAGAAGGGGTCTAGATCCAAAGAACCAAGGACCACTTTCCAGAATAATCCTCATATCTTCTTTGCTTTTAAATTTGTACAAAAATAGTCCTGGCTTAAGAATGCAGATCTCAGGTAATGCCATATGTGACCAAACCTTTTGAACAAAAGATTCCATAGCCTTAAACTTGATATTCATCCCCAGTACCTGACCAATAAGTGCAGAATCCCAAACAGATGCACCTTCATACCATTCATCCTCCCCAAAACTCACTGTATCTTTTTCATTAGGGGGTACATAATTCAAATCAAGACCACAACCAAGTTTTCTATTGTCAGAAAAGAAACTAATCCAGCTTTTCTTTGCATTACTGCTAGCAGGGATCGTATTTTTCATTTCTATTGTCAGAAAAGAAACTAATCCAGCTTTTCTTTGCATTACTGCTAGCAGGGATCGTATTTTTCAAGACTTTGCCAGAAAAAGAAACTAATCCAGCTTTTCTTTGCATTACTGCTAGCAGGGATCGTATTTTTCAAGACTTTGCCAGCCTCTAGAGGAGGAAAATCCAGAGAAACTCCATTTGTATTATCATTTTTTGATTCATTTTGATCATCAGAAGAGACTACATCAGATATTTTCTCAACAGGAAGAGTTTTTCCTGGATCCGGAATTGAATCCAAGATTCTTGAAGATTTAGCAGAAAGATGTTGAGATAAAAGGAATTCCTCAGAATCTTTAGCATCAGCCCAAGAAAGATTATCAGATCTAAGAGATTCAGATTGCAGAGACTTACAGAGCAAACGAGATTTTACCCCAGCTACCGGAGGAGAGCTCAGAGGAAGAGAATTGGAGCTTGAAGATAAGATTTCAGCCATAGATTTCCTTAATTTCTCCCCCTTTGGCCCCGTTGAACCCATAGCATTGAGCTCAGATTCTTCATCATCTTCAACGAAACTGGTATCAGATTGATCCTCAGGAGTTACTAGATCAGAATTCAAAGATCTTAATCCAATACTAAAGATCTTGCTCCCACTTTTTCTCTTCTTTTTACCCATCAAGAATCAAGGCGGGGGCACACGTTAGCAACGAAAGAGTCGCCCGCTAACGTGCACCGTAAAAGAACCGCCAAAATTTTTCCAACGATATTATTTAACTAAGATTAGACATCTTGATCGTCAAAGTTAACTACAAATCCATAATTTAAGAATCGAAACTATCGTAAGAGTATGAGTAATATGTATTCAAATATTTCAGATACGAATACAGATATTTCACTATAAAACCATATCCGTAACTATATCCTATCGGTTATAGATTTGAGTAACCATATCGGTATCCTAACGGATATGGTTACGGATATTTTCTCATATACGGTTTAGCACCCTACTCAGAACAACTAAAAATAGTAAAAATCATGGGATATAGCTCATAATATTGTGAATATTTGATGTCGTGAAATTATTTTCTAAAGTCTAGAAATAATAAAAAATTATCGCAAATCGTTGGTTATAGTACATGAAATCTAGAATTTTAGACTTTGTGAAAATATTTTCCATTGAATAGAAACGACTAAAAATGACCAATAATTATGGGTTATAGCTCAAGAAATTAAGAATTTTGGCCTCTATAATTTTAATTGCTAATGGCTCAAAATGAGTGAAAATATCCAAAAATCATGGGTTATAGCTCATGAAATCATGATTTTAGCCTCCATAAAATTATTTGTCAATGGGTCGGAATAAATAAAAATGGCCATAAATTATGTGTTATAACTTATAACTCATGAAATTGTGAATTTTAGCTTTTACGAATATATTTGCTAATGGCTTGAAACAACTAAAATTTGCTAGAAATCATGGGCTATAGCTCTTAAAATTATTCATTTTGGCCTTGGTTAAATTATTTGCCACTAGGTAGAAACGACTAAAAATCACTAAATATCATGTGTTATATAGCTCATAAAAATATGAATTTTAACATCCGTGAAATTACTTGCCAATGGCTCGAAACCACTAAAAATGGAAAAAATTTGTGGGTTAAAGCTCAAGAAATTGTAAATTTTTGACTCCATAAAATTATTTTCCAATGGCTCGAATAACTAAAAATAGCCAAAATTATGGGTTACAAGTCATAATTGTGAATTTTAGACTCCGTGAAATTACTTGATAATGGCTTCGAACAAGTAACAATTAGTAAAAATCATTAATTATAGGTCATAAAATTACGAATTTTGGACTCAATGAAATTATTTTCTAATGGGTAGAAAAAACAAAGAAAAAAGCCACAAATTAGTAGATCATGAAACTCTAAACTTTAAACTTCATGAAATTATCGACCAATGATTAGAGATGACTAAAAATGTCCAAAATCATGGGTTATAACTCAGGAAATCATGAATCTTGGTCTCCACAAACTTATTTACCAATAGCTCAAAATAACTAAAAATGACTAAAAATTATGGCTTCTAAGCTAATGAAATCATGAATTTTAGCCTCCATGAAATAATTCTTATTAGATCAAAACCAATAAAAACGGCCACAAAGAATAGGTTATAGCTCATTAAATAATGAATTTTGCTCTTCTAGAGATTATTTGTCAATAGTTCTAAATGACCAAAAATGACTAAAAATTATGGGCTATATCTAATGAAAATGATAATTTTAGCCCCGCGAAATTATTTGCTAATGGCTCGAAACATCTAAAAATAACCAAAAATCATAGGGTATAGCTCATAAAATTATGAATACATGACTCCATGGTATTATTTTCTAATGGTGGAAATAATAAAAAAAGATAAAATCAAGTGTTGTAGCTCATGAAATTGTGAGTTTTAGCCTCCATAAAATTATTTGTCATTGAAAAAGAACTTAAAAAGTGGCCACATTTCGTAGGTTATAGGTAATAAAATCCTGAATTTTAGACTCCAATATATTATTTGCCATTGTTTTTCATAGGCTACGCCATGATTTTTGTTTTATTTTTAGTTCAATTTAATTGAATGTAAATTAATTGTCCATACATCACAATTTGTAATTTTTATGAGCTATAACTCACTATTTTTAACAATTAGTTTAAACAAATGAAATTTTAATCTATGTACCTTAAATTTTATTATTTTCATGAGCTATAACTTATGGTTTGTTATAATTTTTTTTCAATTTGAATTACTACAAATTATTTATGTATACATTTAAATTTGTTTATTCATTTCGAGTGAATGTTAATTAGTTATTTATACATCAAAATTCATTAAGTTTATGGGACACAACTCATCCAAATGAATGCAAATTTATTATGTGTACATCACAATCTACACTTTTCATGATCTATAACCCATGATTTGTTATAATTTTTAGTTGTTTCAAATAGTTACAAATTTTATATGTGTACATTAAAATTTGTGAGAGCTATAATCCATGATGTTTGTTAATTTTCGTTCTTTTTTAATAAATACAAATTTATTGTATGTACATCAAATTTTTTTACTTTCATGAGCAACAAAACCCATAATTTTTGTCAATTTTTTTTCATTTTGAACGAATACAAATTTATTCTCCATACATCAAAGTTCATGATTTTATGAATTATAACTCTTGATTTTAGTTAATTTTTGTTTATTTTGAATATACATCAAAATTTATGATTTTCATGGCTACAATCCAGTATTTTTGTCAATTTTTATTTATTTTAAATAAATACAAATTTATTATGTGTACGTTAAAATTTACTTTTCACAACCTATGACTTAGGATTTTTTTTAATTTGTTCATATCGAATGAATACAAATTTATTATGTGTACATTAATATTCATGAAATTCAGTCTTTCTTTAATAAATATAAGTTTATTGTGTGTACATCAAATTTTGCAATGTTCATGAGTTATAACCCTTAATTATTTTCAATTTTAATTTATTTTCTTTGAATGTAAACTAATTATCTATACAACAAAATTTATAATTTTTATGGGTTATAACCTATGATTTTGTTAATTTTTGTTAGTTTCAAACAAATACAATTTTATTATATGTGCATTAAAATTCATGAATTTAATTAGCTATAACCCACATTTTTGTTATTTTTTGTTCATTTTGAAATATATAAATTAACTATCTATACATTAAAATTTTTGATTTTATGAGCTATAACCCACAATTTTTGTTAACTCTTGTTCGTTTAAAACGGATGTAAATTTATTAAATTAAAATTTGCGATTTTCATGAGTAATAACTCCTAATTATATATATATATTCTTATTTCAAATGAATGTAAATTTATTATGTGTACATCAAAATTCATGATTTTCATGAGCTGTAACCTATAGATTTTATCAATTTTCCTTTGTTGAATGAATGCAAATTTATTGTATGTTGATCAAACTTTGTAATTTTCATGAGTTACCCACGATTATTGTTACTTTTGATTTGATTTTAGCGAAGTAAATTAATCATCTATATATCAAAATTTGTAGTTTTCATGCACTATAACTCTTGATTTTCACTTGAAAGAAATAAACAATAACTAATTTGGACCATAATTTTAGAATATTATAAACAGTTTATTACTTAGAATCCCCCCCCCCCCTTTTTTTTTGGGAGGGAGAGCAATTGTGTAACACTGTTAAAAAAAATTAATCTATCCAAGAGAGTCTAGCTGAGTTGGTAAGCTGTCTATGAGCTGTACTTTAAGGTTTCAAGTTCGACTCTCCTAGAGAGCACCCACGAGAATTTAATTTTCTTGAATATTCGAGAATGCCCTTAACCATGGCCGGGGTTCAAACCATAGTTCGAAGAATCGTGGGAAAGTTCTCTTGTCAAACCAACAAAAAATTAATCTAGTATATTATAGTATCAAAATAATTTCTAAAAAAGTATATGCATCGAGATTTAGTCTTTTATAGAAGAAATGATACGTGAGAAGCGAGTTTGCTTTAGGGGTGCACTGTGAATGAATGATGGGCCACTAATGCATCTCTTTTAGAAAAGAGTTCAGCCCACAAGGAAAATTGCAGTAAATTTTCCTTTAGATTCTCTCGCCTTTTGCATAAAATAGCCCCTAATTGAAATCCTGTTGTTAAATATTAGTAAAAAAGGGAAAGTGTAATAGTTGAGGATTAGTTTGGAGAGTTTAGTTTAGTGAAACCTATCTTATTAAAATATTTGTAAAAGATTTATATGAAATAAATAATACTTAAAAAGAATCACAGGCTTCGGGCCGATCTGAGCCTAATTTGGCCCGGATCACTATTTATTCATGAAGGTAGGCAATTGTGTGGCCAAAATGTTGATGTGCTTTGTTACTTAAATGTGAAAATGCATGATATTCGTTCTCTTGTTTGCTCAGAAATTGCACAATTCTTTATTTTTCTTTTTATTTCAGAGTCAACTTACGTCAAGCTAACAATAAAAACTTTCTCTTTGGTTCTGCTCGTTTTCTCATC